TCAATACCTTCGTCATGTCGTCTTCGAGTTTATATGTCATCTTCAGGAACTTCACCTGTTTCTCCCACGTTTCATACATCTCCGAATTCCCGGAGAAATTGCCCAGAAGATCTGCCACTGTTTCTACGTTCACTTTCTACGGTCGATTGTCCGTCGCTTTGAAGATCGGCATTTCGGCGCAACATTTGGATTTCGCGACGGGCTAACTCAAGTTCCTTTTCGAGCACTTCTTTCTCCCGTCAGCAGACCACGACTGCTCTTCGTCGCAGCATTTTGTCCTTTTCGCTACTCGCAAGTTCGTCGTCACTGTCGTGCGGTGATTTTCCGTCACATGCACCATCACTGTTTATGCACATTGTCACCCACGCACCACTGGGATCGTCGAGATTCAAGCAACTTATCAACTCGTTCTTGCTACCAAAGGTAGCGAGTTCTTTTGCACTTAGAATCTCCTTCTTTTATCTAAAAATTGTTTTAACACTAGATTTACGGAACCCGTCAAAATGACGGATAATGGGTCTATTTTAGATGACAGAATTTATTAAGATATTTTTGTAAAAATGTCAACTTTCATCAACTTTCAGCAAAAGAATCAATGTTTTAGGCAGTTCACATATCATCTGCAATTTATTTATTTTTCTACTTTAGGTAAATTTAAATAAAAGTGACCATCAAACGTCCGTAAATCTAGTGTTAAAATCGTCTTCACACACTTCACTTTTACTAATAACTTACACTCGATCACGGCTGAGCCCCCAAAATTTATAAAATCATTAAACGCGGTTACAGTGAAAAAAATAAATTTATTCAACCAAATTTAAATATAAAGCGTGCTCGTTGTATTCGTGTTCGTCGTAACTCGTCGTAACTTCAACTCTCCTCGAACGCCCGATCGCCGCAAATATACAGAGTGTCCCGTAACTAGTGTTACTTCCTGAAAGGGGTAGTAGAGGACGTCATTCTGAACAAGATTTTCATTTGCAAAAATGGGGTTTGAAGCTTCGTTTTGAATTATTAAGGAAAAACACGGACCAATTAGAGCGCGAGGATTACGCGCGCTCAGACGAGAGAGCGACAGCTTCGAAAATGACGGTCGATCGTGATCGTGAACAAACGTATCGATACCACGTCGGTATAGCGTCGGTATGATAGAAAGCTGTTAGATGAAAGTTACATTGAAAAACAAATGAAAAAATCTGAATTATTATTGAATTATCATTTATTAATGCATAAGAAATAAAGAAATTAGTCCTTACTCACGTAACCAGAATAAGTCGAATTTATTCGATACATTTATTTGTTATCGCAAAGAAATAATAGATAAAATATGGAAAATTATTCTCGTTAGATATTGTGATGATGAAAAAGAACAAATTCTTATTTTAAAAAAATGATATAACCTTTCCATTCAACAAATAAAAATTTGAATTTGAATAATTAACAAATTTACCCATTGAATCGCAAGTAATCACGATGAAAATGCATCTCTGTCACCGGATCGATCCACCGATCCTTAGTATCAGTATAAATAACAGAAACTCTCAAAAAACTCTCAAGAAACCTCACTGTCATCTTCCATTATTAGTTTACATTATCACTTTTCTTTGTCATTTTTCACTAATTTTCACTGTGAGTCCGACACGTAAATAGGACGAATGAAAACACGTGAACGAATATTAATAAATAATTTAAACTATACTATCTTGGGAGCAAGAAAACACAATTTTCGATTAACAACAACGATACATTTTATTTCAACACGTATCTTTCGACAATAAACGATGACTGTCGATCGACGCCGCAGTCGTTCAACATCGTTGCATGACAACCGTTCGCGACGTACGCCTCGCGATCGAGAACGAAATCGCGATCCGTGGCCAGTCTAACAATGTTTTCTAATATAATATAATATAATTTCGATTCCACAATTCGGATACCTTATAATGAGAATATAGCGTATCTTTAAACATACATGTCTATGAATAATCGTCCGTTTACGGGTCATGCTTATGTTGTGCAATTATTAGAAAGAGACAGTGAAATAAATTAAGAGGGCATTGACCCTGCCAGGCCATCAGCTGTTGATGCTCTGATCGGCGGATCTACCCGGTGATACAAATACTTTTTATCGAAACTAATTAATAATGAGTAAGTTTTATTTAAGTTGTTTCTGTATTTTTAAAATTAAATGTACGCAGAAATTGATTTATTTCACTTCAATGAGGTACTTTAGGTATTCTATTCCAGTTCTATCTCATTTCATAGGCAAGGTACTCATTCGTTTTGAAACGTGAATTTATTCGTTTACTTCATTAGAATAGTTGCAAAAATTAATTTTCGTGACTTTATTCTTTTTCCTTTTCGAAGGCATAAAATAAATACAATATACTTGGTCTGGGTAAACAACAACTAATTGATTTATCTCCCATTCACGAATTATGAAGAACTTAATATTATTCTTAACTTCTTAATTCATTATTCGATTTAACTTTCACCTAATAGCTTCTTGTTATACCGACGACATGCCGACGTTATACCGACGATATTGATACGTTTGTTTACAACGACGATCGGCCGTTATATTCGAAGCTGTTGCGCGCCCGGTCTATGCGCGCTCTCATCGGTCAGTGTTTTTTGCTAATAACTCGAAAATGGAGCCTCAACCAATATTTTGGCAAAGGAAAAAGCTGTTCAGAATTGCCCCACCTACCACTCCTTTTCGGTTCTTACAGTAATTGTGGGACACCTTGTATAAGGAGCGAAATTCGCAGGTGAATATCTTTCAACAATTAGGTTTATTCAATAAAATGGTGAGAATGATGAAGTCAACAAATAACAAATAATAATTACAACAAAATATGGAAAGTATATGGATTATAAATGAGTATAATGAACGACTAGATCAAATGGAACTAAATAGACTTTGATTACATAATAGCAGAAACTTAACAAATTAAATAGTACGTAATTGACGAATGTAAAATGAATCTAACGAAAATATAATTCGCTGGTTTAATGTCTTTGGAAGTTAGTGTTACGATGAATCCTACCTAAGTTCGATTCTCTTGCAAACCTAACTACGCTTTTACAAAAGTAATTAAAATAGTTAGGAAAAAATAAAGTAATAATTAATTGCCATCTTCTTCGAATGCATCGAAATCACCTGCACCAGGAATAGCAAAGATTTAAGTGACAGCTTTTCGATATATTTCACGATAGATAATTTACTATTGAAAAACTCAGCGACTAAATTTAATGGAACTGAACAAACTACCTTATAAAGAGTGTAACGAATTCCGGTTGCCGGTTCAGCCGGTACGCCAGGTCGGGGCTGGGTGAATGAGTAGAATTTGGTGGTTTTTTACTAGGTTTATTCCGGACTGAATAATATAGACGCGGGCGGATGATTGAACGCGGTTCGGAACTTACAAGTTAGCGCCGTTCGGACGGTTCGCAGGTCGCAGTGTTACAATAGGTGCGCTGGGGAACAGATGAATTAGTGGGGAGTTGTTATATGCCTTGCGACGGATCGGTGAGGGGACGGAAAAAAGGTTCCCTGATATGGACGGCAACCAGGGCAAGCGGTCCTCCACGTTCCGATACTCGCACCCACGGACGATTCTTTTAACGGGGCGCCACACAGTGGGCCAGAGCGATGAATTAGCTGTTCACGGCCAATTGTAGCGTTATTCTAAGACTTGAAACGAGAGTATAGCGGCCCCTGCGTCGTTCCAGCATTTAAAATAAGTATTATTATTACATTTAATCACACCGGATTATTTTCATATCGAAAAAATTAAAAATAAAACAAAAATGAGCGTTATATTTCAAAAAGTTAGTGAATATACTATACTCTCAATGTGGACGTTTGGTTTATAAGCATAATTTTTATTAACGTAAACATAATTTTAACATGGAAACAATTTTTATTAATAGAAATAAATACATTTTTTACTAAGTTTGTACAATATATTAATTTGTTAAATAAATAATCAAATTTATTTATTATTATTTATGTATCATCGTCGTCATCGTCTTGCAGGTCTTCTTGTAACATTCGTTTTTGTATTTCATCTTTAAAAATATTAAAACGGGAACGCGTTTTATAAATTTTTCTGTTTTCTGCCGAAATTGAAGATATTAAAATATCAAAATGTCCGTCAATATTTCTAATTGCGAAAATTTTCGTGTGTGGTCTCTTCTAATATTTCAGAAATCTTTGTTTCGTGCCTTCATTGCTTCTTCAGAAAACATTCCAATGGGCAAACCAGCACTTTGTATTATATCTGCACCATGCAATAATATTTTGTGCAAATTTAATAGCATATAAAACCAGTCGTACTCTGCTACACATAAGTTAAATGTTGCCATTGCATATTCTTGAGATAAAATCGAATTAATTAATTAATATACTTACAGAATATATAATAAAATATACTAATGTCTATTCGACTAAATACACAATATATACCTACGTGTTGTTGAAGCGTGTGTCACGCAACGCTTCAAACAATAATAACTGTATGTGCGTCGTCGTGCCGACAATATTTAGCGGCGGTCTCTGACGCGTTAGAATTTGTGACAATTCTCAAAATTGGAGTGGACTGTATTGAATGGTTGACTTCGAGTTTAAAACAATAACGAACTTTATTGAATCGTGAGTGATACCGGACTTGTGTATAAGTTGAATGTATGAATGTTGAACTTTGTATTTTGTATCTCGATAGTTTGTCTAATGTCTAATGTATAATTTCTAATGTCTAACGAAGTTTTCTAATGTCTGACGTACAATGTTTATCTAATGTCTAATGTACAATGTTTATCTAATGTCTGACTCTCCGATCACTCCGACGCTTTTCCGCGATCCAGGAAAGCTCGGAGTGGGCGTTCACACTTCCTCAAACTTGGAAGGGATAGCAAAAATGATGTTTCTATTGGATGATAACTATTAAGTAGAAGTGGCAAAAAAGTGACGTAGAGAAAGTCGGGTTTTTCCCAAAATGACCGTAGCGAGTAATAAACCTAAGGAGTACCTCGACATGAATGGAAAATGCAAACAAAAGACCACGACTACGGCTAAGGGTTCTGACCCCAGATGTACTGGCAATAAATCAAGAAAAAACTGGCTAGAATGTAATGACTCCTTGGGTCCTATTTCTGCTACGAGTCAAAAGCTATTGAAATTAACAAATGTTTTCTGAAAGACCTAAAAATTACAAACTATTGTGCTCAAAACTTGGCCTGAGGTCTAATCCTCTCTAATATGTATTCTACAACCTAACAATAACTTTTGCGGTTGGACGAAGGGGGACATGATTCCTTTTAAGATTAAAATAAGGAAATCTTGCTGAAAATTTTGCACTATGATAGAGCACGCAACTCTTTGAATTTTTAAAGATATCCCTTGCTAAAGATGAACAACTATGAAAATTATCTTTAGTTCATTGAGAATTATTTGTAAATAAACTACAAATAATAATTTGTCATGGCATGTGTATTCTCAATATGAACATATGTTGTTTATTAAAGAAAAAAAATTTTGCAAAAGTGTTTAATACTTTTGTCAGGGCATCAATATGAAAAAGAGTAAATTTTTCGGTGAAAAATAGCATTCATAAAAGTCTGATCTTTGAATGCTTGTTATGACTATAATTTTAATGAATTTCATTAATTTCATCGGTTTTGAATTCGACAGGTATTTAGTAAGCAATATATACTCGTTTCATATCGATCTAGGAAAATCGAATTTTTGACAAATGAACAGCTAATTCGTCGCTCTGGTTCACTGTGCGCCAGTGCGAACGCACCCGTTCGGGGTAATCGCCCTTCCGGCTGCTCTTCCGGGAGCGGTACTCAAAGGGGGTCAGAGAAGGAATAGAGAATCCGCAAGTATCTATGAAACGTTTAACTTTATTTCGGGCCGAAGTGGGCCCTTCGAAAATAACGAAAAAGAGTCCCTCGCGGTACAAACTACGGTAGAGATTCGGGTCGCGATCGCTATTTGCGGGAAAGGATATCGCGACACAGGGGCTCACTGTACGCACGAGCTGTACAAATCGACTAAAGGAGTACGCTTTAGGGAACACGCTCTCTTGGGGGTCGTGAACAGCCGAGGGGACGCTGGACCTAGATGTAAAATACTGTTCCGAAATAAAGATAATAATAGAATCTTTATATAACCCTACTTTTCTGGTCCTCCGTTCAGTCTCTTGTATTTTCCGGTCACTTAAGCATTGTCAGTGTAATTACGAAATAAAAAGTATATTTTCTCTGCGAACGTCGATCTCGAAGTATTTATTCCTTAAGTGATACCTCATTCTCCGAGATCAGTTTCTGAGGAAGCTGATTCGAACCGGGCATCACAGAAAGTTCAAACGATTACCGTTCCGATTTTAAATTCAGATCCTTGTGAACCTTTAGCGAAAGCAAACGTCTTAGCAATTTTCAACCTAAATTTCAACCGCTTTTCCGAGTATTTCAACCAGTTTGTATTATCGTTATAATTGTCCATTGTCCCGGGGTGAACGTGCGTGTGAAGTGTTTAATAAATCATTTTGTGAACGTTTAAATTTATATCTTTTATTTTATTTTAACAACTTCACGTGACTCTGCCTAAACATCCTGTGCTCCGTATCCTCGCTAGGATAGAATTAGCGATCCGAGAATCGATCAACCGACTCGAGAAAACTCGTCGGAAAAGTTGATCACGAAACAAATACAAAAGAGAAAAATAGCCCGAATTAGGGTTAGCGGCCCAGAATCGTGGAAAACGGGAAACGAGGAAAGAAATAAATCGGTACAAAAATATTCCGCGAATACCGTCCCTAGGGTCCTCGTCACTGGGACTGGTGGTCTTTTCGCCAGGAACCACCCACACGCACACACGCTCACACACACGCTTAGAGATCTCGTGGAAGGCAAAGATTCTACCTTTCTTTTTCTTTCGGACGTGGGTCGTTTCCTCAATCTGGGCGCTGACATCAAGACGAGTCCACACGATTACAGTTCGTATTCACACACACAAACGAAACGTAAAAAAAAAGAGAAAGGAGGAATTATAATAAAATACAGAAAGAAAAGACAAGAACAATAGAGGCGTTAGATAAGCGGGCGGTTTGTAGCGTGATCGTTGTTCGAAGCAGGCTTCTGCCTCGTTATCCGCGGTTTGGGTCGACGGTGCGCGGAATTCCCCCTCACCGAGTATTTCGGCGCCAGGGATGGGCCATGGTGTCTCTTTTCTGGCCAGGTCCTGGCACCCCCTTCGGGTGGCAGCTGGGAGTGACTTGTCCCCAGGCCTAGCATCCCTCGGTGTTGGTTGCCGGTCGCTCCCGCGGAGGTTGACGGATGGTTCGGCGACCGGCCAGCAGGCGGCTTTAATTTTCGGGTTCCATCTCGCGTTTCTGTCTTTCGAGTTGGGGTTTTCCCCCGATCGGGGCTGCGGATTCCTCTTCCTTTTTAGCGGTGGCCGTGCGTGAAAGTGCTTGGGGAGGGGG